GTAATGATCTTAAAAGGAAGACATGCTTTTGCAACCGTTCTCGACTCTTTTTGATCCATCCATTTTCTCTCCTGTGTGCATTAGAGTTTGAGAGGGCTATAATAAATTTTCAGGAGATCCAATTCTTCACAGCAAATTAATATCAATGGAATGAATATATATATCTGGTTTTTGGAAAATGGTTCTAGCCTTCCAGGCTAGGTAGGATTTCATTTAAGTGCAACAATTGCGAGAGAGTACATGAAGAGGGTTATAGCATTCATTAAATGATTTATGGCCTCCTGGATAAGTATTCAACCCAGATTTTCATAATGTATATATGGAAAAATAAAATTTTATATATGGATGCTAAATCACATGAAATAAATAAGGTAAATCTAATTCCTTAAACTTATTTATGTGAGGTAATGTAATATTATCAAAATCGACTCTATATTATCTTAAATTAACAAAAAATATGACTGTAAGCAAAATCAAATCAAGACAAAAAAGACAATAAAAGAAAATTATGATATCTGACTCAAACACCATTAAGCAGACTCACAACAAGACAAGAATTCACGTTTGTAACTCAATCACACCATCACAAACTTTTCAAGGCATTACATCGTTTATAACGAAGCCTAACACTTTATTAATTTTCAGTTGAAATTTTAGCTTCTATGAGGCAATTGTCTTGCTCTTGGACTCACCTTTCAGCAGCTTAAGGTTCCAAACATTTATACAGTAGCTCTAGAGATAGATTAAGAGTGAAAGAGAAAGCGACATAGAGTCAGTTTTGATAGTAGCTGCATTAGTGACAATTTCAGCCTACCTGCTCCAAACCTTATAACAACCTTATAGAGTCAGTTTAGATTTTATGCTATTATATTTCATGCTTGGTGCAACATGTGTACACTGCGATCCAAAAAATACAAACCAGAAATGACATTTGTAAGTTTTTTTCTTTATCATAAAAATGAATATAATGTCATCACATTGGAAAAAGGAGTATGTAATTAAGGCCATTATAGCATTCATTAAATGATTTATGGCCAACTGGATAAATATTCAACCCAGATTTTCATAATGTATATATGAAAAAATAAAATTTCATTCATGGATGCTAAATCACATGAAATAGATAAGGTAAATCTAATTCCTTATGCTTACATATGTGACGTAAGGTAATATTATCAGAATTGACTCTATATTATCTTAAATTAACAAAAAATATGATTGTAAGCAAAATCAAATCAAGACAAAAAAGTTAATGAAAGAAAATTATGATATTCGACTTAAAAACCATTAAGCGAACTCACAACAAGACAAGAATTTACGTTCGCAACTCAATCCCACCATCACAAATTTTTCAAGGCGTTACATCATTTGTAACGAAACCTAACACTTTACTAATTCTTGGTTGAAACTTGAGCTTCTTTGAGGCAATTGTCTTGCTCTAGAACTCACCCTTCAGTAGCTTAAGGTTCCAGACATTTATACAGTAGCTCTAGAGATAGATTAAGAGTGAAAGAGAAAACGACATAGAGTCAATTTTGATAGTAGCTGCATCAGTGACAATTTCAGTCTACCCGTTCCAAACCTTATAGCAATCTTATAGAGTCAGTTTAGATATTATGCTTGTATATTTCAGGCTTGGTGCAACATGTGCACACCATGATCCAAAAAATATGAACAAGAAATGTCATCTGTAAGTTTTTTTCTTTTCCATAAAAATGAGTATGATGTCATCACACTGGAAAAAGGAGTATGTAATTAAGGCCATTATAGCATTCATTAAATGATTTATGACCAAATGCACAAGTATTCAACCCAGATTTTTATTATGTATATATGGAAAAATAAAATTTTATATATGGATGCTAAATCACATGAAATAAACAAGGTAAATCTAATTCCTTAAACTTACATTTACATATGTGATGTAATGTAATATTATCGAACTCTATATCATCTTAAATTAACAAAAAATTATGACTGTAAGCAACATCAAATCAAGACAAAAAAGCCAATAAAAGAAAATTGTGATATCTGACTCAAACACCATTAAGCAGACTCGCAACAAGACAAGAATTCACGTTCGCAACTCAATCCCACCGTCACAAACTTTTCAAGGCATTACATCATTTATAATGAAGCCTAACACTTTATTAATTTTCAGTTGAAATTTTAGCAACTACAAGGCAATTGTCTTACTCTAGAACTCACCCTTCAGTAGCTTAAGGCTGTTCCAAACATTTATATAGTAGCTCTAGAGACAAATTAAGAGTGAAAGAGAAAGCGATATAGAGTCAGTTTTGATAGTAATTGTATCAGTGACAATTTCAGCCTACTTGTTCCAAACCTTATAGCAACCTTATAGAGTCAGTTTAGATTTTATGCTATTATATTTCATACTTGGTGCGACATGTGCACACCATGATCCACAAAATACGAACCAGAAATGACATCTATAAGTTTTTTTTTTCATTTTCATAAAAATGAATATGTTGTCATCACATTGGAAAAAGGAGTATGCAATTAAGGCCATTATAGCATTCATTAAATAATTTATGGCCAAATGGATAAGTATTCAACCCAATGTTTTGAAAATCGAACCAGATCAGCTGGTTCGACCAGTTGAACCGCGAACCGGCCATGCCTCCGGTCCTGTTCAATTAAAAACCCAAAAAATTAATTGAACCAGTCAAAACCGGTTGAATCGATAAAAACCGGTAAAAACTGGGAGGTTCAATCGGTTTTTATTAAGTATTTATTTTCTAAAATAAATATTTTAGTTTTATTCAAAATTTTTAATACTAAAATGAATAAAAAATTATTTTATGAAAAAATATTTTATTAAACCTTTGAACTGGGGTCGAACCATGAATCGGAAGGTTTTCCGATTCACTCTCCGGTCCGGGTTTAAAAACATTGATGCAACCTAGATTTTTATAATGTATATATGGAAAAATAAAATTTTGTATATGGATGCTAAATCACATGAAATAAATAAGGTAAATCTAATTCCTTAAACATTACATATGTGATGTAATGTAATATTATCGGACTCTATATCATCTTAAATTAACAAAAAAATATGACTGTAAGCAAAATCAAATCAAGACAAAAAAGTCAATAAAAGAAAATTATGATATTCGACTCAAAAACCATTAAGCTAACTCACAACAAGAAAAGAATTCACGTTCACAACTCAATCCCACCATCACAAACTTTTCAAGGCATTACATCGTTTGTAATGAAGCCTAACACTTTACTAATTCTCGGTTGAAACTTTAGCTTTGTGGAGGCAATTGTCTTGCTCTAGAACTCACCCTTCAGCAGTTTAAGGTTCCAGACATTTATATAGTAGCTCTAGAGATAGATTAAGAGTGAAAGAGAAAACGATATAGAGTCAGTTTTGATAGTAGTTGTATCAGTGACAATTTCAACCTACATGTTCCAAACCTTATCGCAACCTTATAGAGTCAGTTTAGATTTATGCTATTATATTTCATGTTTGGTGCAACATGTGCACACCATGATCCAAAAAATACGAACCAGAAATGACATCTGTAAGTTTTTTCTTTTTCATAAAAATGAATATGATGTCATCACACTGGAAAAGGAGTATGCAATTAAGGCCATTATAGCATTCATTAAATGATTTATGACCAAATGGATAAGTATTCGACCCAGATTTTTATAATGTATATATGGAAAAATAAAATTTTATATATGGATGCTAAATCACATGAAATAAATAAGGTAAATGTAATTCCTTAAACTTACATTTACATATGTGATGTAATGTAATATTATTGGACTCTATATCATCTTAAATTAACAAAAAAATATGACTGTAAGCAAAATCAAATCAAGACAAAAAAGCCTATAAAAGAAAATTGTGATATCCGAGTCAAACATCGTTAAGCAGACTCATAACAAGACAAGAATTCACGTTCGCAACTCAATCCTACTGTCACAAACTTTTCAAGGCATTACATCATTTGTAATGAAGCCTAACACTTACTAATTCTCGGTTGAAACTTTAGCTTCTTCGAGGCAACTGTCTTGCTCTAGAACTCACCCTTCAGCAGCTTAAGGCCGTTCCAGGCATTTAAACAGTAGCTCTAGAGATAGATTAAGAGTGAAAGAGAAAGCGATATAGAATCAATTTTGATAGTAATTGTATCAGTGACAATTTCAGCCTACATGTTCCAAATCCGAAATTACATCGGTACGTTTTTTTCTATGTCATAAAAATGAATATGATGTCATCACATTGGAAAAAGGAGTATATATGTAATTAAGGCCATTATAGAATTCATTAAATGATTTATCACCAACTGGATAAGTATTCAACCCAGATTTTCATAATGTATATATGGAAAGATAAAATTTTATATATGGATGCTAAATTATATAAAATAACTAAGGTAAATCTAATTCCTTAAACTTAAATATGTGATGTAATGTAATATTATCGGACTCTGTATCATCTTAAATTAACAAAAAAGATGGCTGTAAGCAAAATCAAATCAAGATAAAAAAGTCAATAAAAGAAATTTATGATATCTGACTCAAACACCATTAAGCAGACTCACAACAAAACAAGAATTCACATTTTCAACTATATCCCACTGTCACAAATTTTTCAAGGCGTTGCATCGTTTGTAATGAAACCTATCACTTTACTAATTTCGATTGAAAATTTAGCTTCTTCGAGGCAATTGTCTTGCTCTATAACTCACCTTTCAGCAGCTTAAGGTTCCAGACATTTATACAGTAGCTCTAGAGATAGATTAAGAGTGAAAGAGAAAATGATATAGAGTCAGTTTTCATGGTAGCTGCATTAGTGACAATTTCAGCCCACCTGTTCCAAAGCTTAACAAACCTCAAACATCAGTCAAAAATCAGTTTTCGTAGTACCCGATTTGTTGAAGGTTTCAGGCTATCTATTTAAAAGCCTAACAACCATAAAAAACCAAACAACCTCATTCGATTCCAATCCAAGAACAATGGCGCAAGAAGATCTTCCTTTTGAGGTGATTGTTACTATACTGTTGCTTCTTCCAGCTGATCCGTCTCATGCGTGTCTCCAAAGCATGGTATGCTTTGATCACCAATGCCGAGTTCATCCAAAATCATCTCCAGATTATGGCTTCAAGGGGTAATGAGTACATTTTATGTGGTCCAATCAAGGTTTTTAGCCCTGCCAAATCTGATTTGCTTTGTGCTAAAGACCCCAATTTTGCCTATAAAATGGGACTTCCATCTACATTTGATTCTCGTCATTGCCTCCATGTTTCTTCATCCTATGGTTTAGTACTTATGAGTGCGCATATAATTTTGGGAAGAACTTGTATTTATGGAATCCTTGTATTAGAAAATACAAGTGCATTTCCTCTTCATGTATTGACATAAAGAAGTCAAATAGGCTAGGTAGTTCCTTGGCTGTTGGATTTGGTTATCTCAACCAAGCAAATGACTATAAGATCGTAAGAATTGTGTACATTGAAAAAGATGATGATCATTTCTTGGATGAGGACAATGACTATATGGATGGTGATGATCATGATGATATTGGTGGTGATGGCAATGAGATAATTGAAATGGAGATTGATGAGGATATTAGTGCTAGTAAGGCTGAGTCAAGTAGTAATGACGATAGAACTACAGAGGTTGAAGTTTATTCATTGACCAGAGATTCTTGGAGAAAAGTTGAAATCCAGTCTTTTCCGTGGTTCTTGTGTGATTACTTTACTAGAGCATTCGTTAACAATTGTGTCCATTGGATGGTGTTCTATAGGCGCGTCAACGAGGATGAATCGATGATTTTGGCCTTTGATCTTGAGAAAGAAGCCTTTCAGCAAATTACAGTGCCTCATTATGAGGACGATGTAGCTGAATATGTAGAGAGTATTGTTCATAAGGAAGCTCTTGGTTTTGTGGTCATTTATCCTCAAGAAACAACTGAACTTTGCTCTCTGTGGGAGATGAAGGAATATGGAGTGGTTGAATCATGGAGTAAAGTATTTAATGTCGAAGTTGGAGGGACAATTTATAGACCATTTACCATAACCAAGAATGATCAAATTATGTTTAAAGGGGAAAATCAAGGTTTAAGTCTTTATAGCTTTCAAAGTCAAGAGATTAAAACTGTCACAGTTAAACTTGATTCAGATGAGCTTGACTTTTTGTCCACAGTGGATAGCCTGATTCTTCTCTAGCCAAAAAAAAAAATTGTTGGAGCAATGAGGATCATCTATGGTAATTGATCAGGTGGAGGACAAAACCTCACTTGAGGAACAAATGTCTCCTGTCAAAGATTCGAGCATGGGCAATGAATTAGATGAAGGTATGTTTCATCCAAGTGGATACATACATATAGACATTTTTTCTTATTATGCTTTTTCAGAATTAATGATATTTTATCAATTCTAATTATCCCTTCTTTCTCTTTTTCCCTCTTCATAAAAGAATAAATGCCATTACACAAATTTTTCTTTGTGTACATGTGTCATTCATAGTGTTCTTTGGCTGTTTTTCTTATTTTTCTAAACAAATGCATATGTCTCATATATTGAATGATGGCCATGAAGCATATAGCATGATCTTTTGAAAAATTTCTTCTTAATGGAACTTTTAGAGTTGGCTACCTAAAATTAACGTATGTCAGAAGATTCCTATTATACATTCGGATATTATTTTCAAATTAATTTGTTTGCAAGCACAAGAATAGGCATACCAACTCATCAAATGCCATAGTACCCTCCATTTGATTTCTTCTTACAGGTTGTTGTCAAGCAAAATCCAGTTGACAGTTTACACTCACAAATTCTGCTTGTGCATTGCATTGTAATTCAGAATTAATAGTAAGTAAACTGTTTAAGAGTAGTCTGATGAGTTGTAAGTATTTTGCTAATGTGCAATAGAAGGCGACTAAAAGAATTGGTACTGTAAATTTCTGATGGCTACCTGGAATAAGAAAGAGGGTTTTGCTTTTGTAGCCTTTAATTCAACATATACTACTTTTACCCGTAGTTTATGGCATGTTCTTCTCTATTATGTTTTCAGTGCTCAAAAAATTATCATTTAATGAAATTTGTGTGCCTAATATTGTTTACTGAGAAACTATGCGGCATTAGAGATTGTCAAGAATAGAAATTGATCTTAAATTTGTTCTTAGTTGTTACAAAAAACATATAAGCCAAGCTAAATCTTCTATTTTCGTGCATCTAGAGGTTTGACACAAAAAAAAACTCCTCTTTCCCCATCACCAAAAAAAAAAAAAAAACTCAGTTATAGATTTATTTCTTAAATATGTACTCATAAAAACTGTGAGAGAATGAGAAAGCTAGACTAATAAGAATGATGGGTTTTTAGTGTGAGTGTGAGTAAAAATTGATTTTAGTTTTTTTTTTATATCAATATTGCCCTTAATACTAATAAATGGACATATTACATTGCATTTCTTTAATAATTAATAAGAATTGTGCTAATAGTTATAAAGAAACATTCCTTTAATTGTGGAGATTTTGGTGAATTAAACCAAAAAAAAGAATAACCAATTCATTGCATTTCATCAATAATTAATATCAGTTATTCCAACAATTACAAGAATGAAAAACATTCCCTTGAGTTGTAGTGAATTAAATAAAAAAAGGAAGAACAAATTTTATTTCTAACTTATAAAAAAAAATATGGTGAATCTTAGTGGTTAATAATGTAAGCAAAAAAATGATATTAGTTTTTGTGATGCCAAAATTACCCTCCTCTCTAATAAATGGACAGATTGCATTGTATTTCATTATTAATAAATAATATCAAACATGCTAGTAGTTACAAAAATGGAAGATTCCTTACTTTTTATTTGCCGAAAGGAAAACGAACAAATTTTATTTACAAAATTCAAGCTTAGAGAGTTCTTCAAACATGAAACAAGATATAATAAATTGGTACTATGAGTCTTAAAAGTACCACGAGTCTTTTTATTTTGTGGATACAAGTAAATTAAGCCTTAAAAGCACCTTTTTAATATGCGTATATTAGTATTGAGTAAAAAAACTTTAATACAAAACATAATAGAAAATGGAGTACCAACATAGGCAAAGATTTTTATGTTCGGAATTATTTATTCAAATTGCAATAAAGATTGAATTTAATGTAATTCACTACTGATTTATGATCTTTTGTGTTTTTGTTGGTTCTTGTGAGTTTTTTTTTTCTTACCATCATAGTTCTTTTCAATAAGAAAAAAATGCAGGTTTCCGATTCTATAGCCGTTATCTCTTTGGGATATATTGACCAAAGTTTATTATCCAATTCAATTTTGTCCATTAATATATTTTTAAGATAATTCAATGGGGATCCGTAGAATTAGTACTTAGTCCATAGATACTTGGAGAGGAAAAGTTATTGGAGTAAAAGAATTTAATTGAGATTGAAGTTCTAGTCAATTATGTCAACAAAATTGTTTCATTACTTGGATAAGGAAGGAAAACGGGATAATGGGAGAAAGGAAAATCAGATGATAGGAGACTGGGAGTTCAAGTTAAAGTGAATCCAACATCTAGATCATAAATTTATGATGAAAATTTTTACCAAAAAGAATAATAAATAGATAAAAATTTTAAACACTAACTCTTTTTTTGGGGTATCAACCGGAGGCCTAACTGCCAATTACATAATAATAGCACAATCAAGGAAACATTCATAAAATTTACTGATAATAGAGGCTTAGGAAGTAAAGCGCCCCCAAGTGCAAATTCAAACTCATCTTTTCTAGGAGATCAACACGTGAATTGCCTTTCCGCCAACATTGAGACCGCTTGCATTGCCACTCACGACTAAAAAGTTCCCAATTTTACATCAGCTTGAAAACTTATGATGAGCATCCACATGATTGACAAGTTGAACGTTGAAGTGAGAGTTCGACCAACTTCAATATATCAAAATAGAACTTTTAATGAGTCGAATTAAACTTAGTGTGTAAACTCTGTTCATATAATATATGAACAAAGCTTGAGCTAAATTCGATTATTATACGATTGAACATTTTTATAACTCAAACGAATCGACTCAAACAAACTGAAAACAAACCTGTATGTGAAAAATCCGATCCATTAAAAGTTCTATGTTGAAGAAATCAATTGCCAAGCTGGATGCATACCCTGTGCTTAAGAGCAAAACCCATTAGCCAGCGTCCTTGATCATTTCGCAGAATGCCCCACCACTGGCTACACTGAGCCAAGGTGTCCCAACCTAGTTGAGGAAAATTCCACCCTGAATAGAGCTATTAAACGAACCGAACTGTTCGGTAGTTCGGCTCTTTTTCGACACGTTCATGTTCGTGAAAGACTCGTTCGAAACTTTAAACGAACCGAGTTCGAACGAATTTTTTTTGTTCGATTAATAATCGAGCGAATACGAGCATGTTCGCGAGTTTTAACGAACGTTTTCGAACATGGACATAATTATCATTTGACAAATATTAGGGTTAATTTTATGCCTAGACTTTTATATTTGGAGGGTTTTATTTGTTGTTTTTATGTTAATGTTAGTTATATAGTTAATGAATAATAGAATTTAGTCACTCAGTGCTTTAATTAATTTTTAGAATGATTAAAGATTTGTATGACATATTTAAGGTTTAAAATAATTTGGATTCGAACATTTCGAACATATTCGCAAACAACTCGTTTATGTTAAACGAGTCGAACACGAACATGAACTTTACTTAACGAGTCGAACACGAACACAAGTTTGGAGTTCGAAAATTAACGAACGAACACGAACGTTGTTCGAATCGCTTAATGAACAGAGTTTAAACATAAGATACTCGATTCGATTCGGTTCGTTTACAGCTCTAACCCTAAGAGAGCATCTTTCTTTCTGGAAACAGTTGACTGCCTACGAGCTTAAACTTTGAAGGCTGATGCCCAATCTCCTAGATATTTACACGAACATAGTACAGGCAATTGTCAGGCTCAACTCCGTAATGATGCAATTCAAATTTGAGATGGGCGTAAATGAAACTTCAGCGGAACCTGGAACCTTCTTGAAGTACTGAAAAATATCCAGCCAGATATCCTCTACCAGAGGAATCTAGAATCTACTTGTGCTTTCATTTCGGCCATTTGATTTTCTCACTCGGTCCATATTCATTGGAAAAAAAAAAGAAAAAAAATTCTCCATATTCATGTTTTTTGTCCACTAGAAAATTGTTATTGGCACTCAATTATTTATCAATGTTCCCTTTTTTAATACTTATCTACCACGTCAATTAGGTAACAACACCCCTATTCAATCTTGCTACCTATTATTGCATTTCAACCACCATATTATTTTGAGATTGTAATTGAAATTAAAATTTTTAAGTATTTTGTTTATTCACACAAATAAAAAAAATCAAGGAGTTATGATGTCAAGTACGAGTATTTATAATGTAATTACAAACATTTTTTAAAATTCTTGACGAGTATTTATAATGTAATTACAAACATTTTTTAAAATAATAATTATTTATCAAAATTTTTTCCTAAATACTTGTCTACAATGTCAATTGAGCAACAATATCCCTACTCAATCTTGGCATCTGTTATTGCATTTCAACAACTATTTTATTGTGAAATTGTAACTGAAATTAAAAGTTTGAGTATTTTATTTATTTTCACAAATTAAAAAATCAAGGGGATTACATTAATAATCATAGATATACCAACAATGTATTTATGATGTAAAACACAGAGTATTTTTGATGTAATTAAAATTTTTTAAAATAATAATCTATCTAAAACAAATCAATTTATTTACCAAATTTGGCCTTGTTTGGATTGTCATTTTTTTTTAAATTTTTTTTATTTTTTCATAAATATATTTCTCGATTATCTTTTTATCCTACATACATTAAATCGTTGTCGTACATTTTCCTACAAAAATTGAAAAAAAAAAACAATTTGAATAGGCTATTTCATTAAAGAATTTTTTCTAACGAGTGCAGTTATATTCACCTAATTTAGCAGATATACACATACTAACAATTATTACCCTTTTTGTTTGGATTCTCCGTTTTTTGAATGAAAAACAAAATTTTCATATATAATATTATAGGATATATATAAACAAAAATAACTCAAAAAATATCATATCCATACAATATATCAAAAAGAACTCCAAATATATAAAAAAAAATTAAAAAGTATAAAAAAAATCTATACCACCTTCTTTTATTATCTATTACCACCACTTACTACTGCTACCATCCCCTCCTTCCTCCTCTTTCCTTTCCCTCCTCCCCTTTTCTTCTCCTACCCTTTCCTACCACACCCATTGAGGTCATGTATTAGAAGAACGGAGGGGGTGGGGTGTGGAGAGAAATAGGATGGAACGGGAGGAGAGGAGTGTAAGGGAAGGGAAGAAGGGGAAAGAGGGAGAAGGACGAGGAAAGGGAGTAAGGAGGAGAAGGGAGGGGGTGGCAGCAGTGATTGGTGATGGAAATGGGTGTTTGTATTAAATTTTTAAAAAATTTTAAAATTTTTAAAATTTAAAAATATTTTAAAATATATTCCAAAAAAACCTTAAAATACGTGTACCTTCCCTTACATTTATTTATTTATTGCCTCTAATTAATTTTTTATTTTTAAAAATATGATATTTGAAATATATTTTAATTACCGGCACCTGTTATGAAGACCAGCTGTCAACTATTCAACGGGGAAGTGTTGAGAAAGTTCCCACGCCTGCGAGGTTTGACCGCCTTCAGCTCCCATGATTTTTTAAAATTAAATTCTGGTAAAAGAATGATTTCTATCCTACCAAAAAAAAAAAAATCCATAAATCGGGTGGTGGCCAATTTTCCTAAATTAAATAAACAACCGACTCTTGGGCAACACGCGTAAGAGAATCTTAGTCCGAGTCCAACAAGGATAAGACTTGTTTTCAACCGTCCAGATCACGGATGGCCGCCTCATCCTAGCCGTTCATTCTCTTCCCAAGCATCTATAAATACCCCGCAATCCCGGCTGTTTTAACCGTCTTGGCCCACGTCTCTGTATGTGGTAAGAAATTATGTGCTTATCGTCAGGGGGGAGTTTTCCGTAAATTAGATTTATGGTGTGTTTTTTTTTTTTGTCTCGGTAGAAGGTTAGGATCTTCAATTGATGATCATCGCTGGGTTCGATCGTTGCTTCTATGGTTTGATGATTTGATTATTTTGAAGCTTATTATCGCTATTTTTTTTATGGCGATTTTTTAGGTTTAATCATGGTTGTTTTTTGGGCGGTGGCTCTAGTATTTCGAAGGATTAGACGGGAAGGATACGAGTTTTTGCGCTATTTTGGGTTTGTTTATGTGGTAATTTCTGGATCATTCCAATTATCGGACAAACTTGACATCAAATTTCCTTAAAAATTAGCCCTGTTCTGGTTCTTCTTTCTGGTTTTCTTGCTGTGCTTCTTGTAGAATGATGGATTTCGGGCATATGGAGTGGGAAGGAACTCTCTCTTGGATGGATGTGAGCGTAATCTGAATCTGGAGTTTTTATTTCATCCATATCTGTGGTTGTTATTATTGTTGTGATTGCTGTAGGCGGTGCTCTGGACTTTTCAGTAGTTTTGGTGTTGTGTTGATCGAGGATTGATGAGAAAGATTGAGTTTTTACTATTGTTGGGTTTGTTGATTAGTAATTTCTCGATCGTTCTTTTTTATCAAGATTTTTCGCCTTTTCTTTTTCTTGTCTTTCCTTTTTTTGGTTCTTTTGATGTCCTCGTTGTGGTGTGGCAGAATCCTAGTCTTCGGTGGAGCTAAAAAAGACTCTTTCTGGACACGAATATCATACGATATCGGGAGTTTTTTCCTCGTCCCTCTTTTTGGTTTCCTTTTTTATTTCCTGAAAAAAATTAACCGGGGATTCAATTAGTAACTGGCCCTATCTGTTGTATTGATATAGGGGATCTTGGATGCAGGAGGGTCTGGTCATGTTTGTTACCCTGCTATACTGGTTTTCGAGATTCCAGAGAAGTTTTCTCTGTCCTTACTTGTTTTCTGTTGTTTGACTGGGAGTTTTGTGGCTATAGATGCTGATTTCCTCTGTGAGACAGCTGTGTTCGTTTTCTGATTTCCTGCATTATTTTTGGGTTGTGCAATATAGGGTTTCAGTAATTCGGAATTGTGGTGATAACTGAGCCTTCCTTCCTCGGATGGTAAACTGTTTTGGAGGGAGTTATCTTCTTACGAACAATCTTGTTCTTGAGGAATTTATGCTTTTGGCACCTTTTGATATCTCAGACTGTTTTACCGAGTTTTTTTTTTTTTTAGAAGTCCAGGACAAACACAGTTGAAATAGCTTTAAACCTCTCCATTCAATTTGCCTGCACCTTTTTTTTTTGCTTGTTCTTCATCAGAGTTATCTTTGCCTATTTGTTCTCTTTAGGCTTTTGAATTTATTTTGGTTCCATGCCTTCTCTATTTTTGGGAATGGTTCTCAGATGCTTAGGATCGTATCAATATGGCAATATTGATGTTGGCAAGTATTTCTTAGCTTTTAAATTCTGCCATCAAACATGTTTTTCTAGGTATTTCCCAGTGTTATGGTGGTTCTTCATGATCGGAACAAGAATCAAGTTTATGCTTGTTATATGGATAGGTTTATTGTAGATGAACGATGAACTGAATTTGTCAAAAATTGGTATTATTGAATGGTTTCATTTGTCAGTTCCCATCTTTGCGTCAAATTTCAGTTTTTGTTGGCTTTTTGCGTCGCTTGCAGAACTCTAGTGATAGGGAGGTCTCTTGTATGTGAGACCGTGTGAATTAATTGAACGGATTTGAACATAATCTCTTATTTTGGGCTCAACGTTGGTGTTTTTGTGGTTGCTTTAGGTGGTGTTGCTATAGGTCGTGGCTCTGGGTTTCAGCAGTTTCTCTGTGGTGGTGATTGAGAATTGATCTTGAGGTTTTGCAGTTCATTGATCTAGTCATTCTTGAATGGTTCTTGTTGATGTTTCAAGGTTGTCTTTTCTTCTCTGGTTCTTTTAACGAGGCATTAGAATGACGGAGTTCTGCGTATGCAAGCAAAACGAGCTCTTCTTGGATGGATGGAAGCAAAAAGAGCTCTTCTTGGAAGGATGAATGTGATAAATCGGGAGTTCTCTTCTGCCTACCAATTCTGTGTTTGTGTTCTTTGCCTAAAAATCACTGGTGTTCGTTGGTAATGGCTTGTCCATTGTCTTCATTTTAGGGAAGCTTGGATCGGAGCACTCTCGTCATGCTTGTTACCCCGCTATTCTGGTTTACAAGATTTTGGATGAGCTCTCTCTTTCCCTACTTGTTTTCTGCTGTTTCCTTGATATTGATTGGGAAATTTGTGGATTTGCTCCGGCTTATTCTCTAATTTCCTATGTTACTAGGATGTTGCAACATAGGGTTTCAGTGAAGTGATTCGTGATTCAAACTTGCCTTTTCATCCTCAGATCAAGGGCTAGTAAAATCTTTTGGAGGGAGTTATTTTCTCACCTACACTAATTGTTCTTTTTGTGTTCGGGGAATTTAGGGGTTTCGACACCTTATTTATAATTTAAGTTTCCCATGTATCTTTTTGGTCTGGCAGCATGTTTTGCAGAGTCAACTTTCCTGATCCACGAGGAATAGAACGGGTTATAACCAAGTGCATGTCTCTGCTTATTCAACAGTTTCTTTCTGGAAAAAATGTCTATGAATGCTTTCAACCTATGCATTCAATTCACCTAAGGTTCGCTTTCTTTTGGCTTTTGGATTTGATGGACTAGCTTAATTCAGGGCTTCTCTTTGGGGATGGTTCTGCACTGCTTAGTATCTAAGAGGAATTAAATTCCATCATCAAGCATTTTGTATAGGTGGGTTCCTGGTATTTTGCTCATTCTGCTTGATTTGAAGAAGAATTAAGGCTATGCATATTGGTTTGATGGTATGGTAAATTATGGACAAATTTTATTTTAGGATTATTCTCAGTCTTTGTGCCAAGTCTTTGTTGGCCATTCATGTTTTCATACTCCCTTGCAGAACTCTACTGAGGGTGGTGATAGAACATGGGCTTTTGGATGCCATTCTTCTTTAGAATTATGGGATTCCCTTCTAGAATTGTGGAATGGATGTGATGCTTTGTTTTTGCATTGCTGGTGGCAGTTGTTCTGGGTTTTCAGCAGTTTCCCTATGTTCATTGGTAAAAAGGACTTCACGTTAATTGCTGTGTGTGTGTGGTTCTTGGTGATATTGCAAGATTTGTCTTTTCTTCTCTGGTTCTTTTGATGTCATCTTTACAAGAATAGTCAATTTCTGGTGTGGAGGCGAGGAGCTCTCTTGGATGGATGTGAATAAAATCGGGAGATTTTCTTTTGAACCTGGTTTTTCTTTGTTCTCTTTGCCTGAAAAAATCATTGGGGATGGATGGTGATGGCTTCTGTCTGTTGTCTTGATTTTAGGGAAGCTTGTTCCAGGAGCGCTGGTGTGTTTGGTACCCTAGCCAGTTTTGTAACAAGATTTTGGATGAGCTCTCTCTTTCCCTACTCTCTTTTTTTATTGGCTGTTTTCTTCAAAAATGATTTTCTTTACTTGTTATCTAATTTGCTATATTATTTTGTGTTGAATCTAGGGTTTCAGTGATTTGGAGGTGTGGTTGAAACTTAGGTCTCTGTCCTCAGATCAAAGGCTACTATATTATTTTGGAGGGGTTTATCTTCTTACCTATGCTTATCATTCCTTTTTGCTTGAGCATTGTACTGGTTTTGGTACTTTTTGATGTCCGTACAGTATTATGTAATCTAAATTTTTTGTGAATCTTTTCTGTTTGTAGAAATACCTCATGCATTATTTGTTTTGTCAGTAATTGCTTAGAATTCTGTTCTTGATCCTCTAGGAAAAGGTTTCACTGCTTAATCCCAATCATTAAGTGTTGGACACCTCCGACCAGCCCATTCAATTCACATGCACCTATTTTGCGGCTTCTCCATTAATTTCTGGCTAGCTTAATCCCATGGCTTCTCTACGTGTGGGGAGCAGTTCTCAGATGCTTAGGATCTTACCAGTATGGCGATTTTGATGTTCTGAAGTATTTCTTAGTGTTCAAATTCTGCCATTAAACCTGTTTTTTCAGGTCGTTCCTGGTGTTTTGGTGGTTCATGATGATCTGAACTAGAATCAAGTTTATGCTTGTTATATGAATAGGTTTGGTGTTATGATAGACGATTTAAATTTGTAAAAAGTTGGTATTGTTGGTTCGTTCCATTGTCAGTTCTCATCTTTGCGTCAAATTTCAAATTTTTGTTGGCTTCGTGTAGCTTGCCGAACTCAATCGTCAGGGGGAGGTCTCTGGGATGTGACTGTGTGTGAATTAATTGGATGGGGTCTGAATTTAATGTAAAATGTGGAGCTTTTATTTGGACCTATGGGTGGTTTTTTTTTTTTGTCTAGCTGGAGTTGCTATAGGTGGTCTCTCTGAGTTTCAGAAGTTTCTCTGTGGTGTTGAGAATTGATCATGAAGGCCTGCACTTTGCGGTTTTGTAGTATGTTGAGTACTTCTTGAATGTTCCTTGTTGATTTTTCAAGGTTGTCTTTTCCCCTCTGGTTCTTTTGGTGTGGTGGTCTTAGAATGGTGGAGTTCTACATATGGAGGCAAAAAGAGCTATGGATTGACGTGGTAGACCAGGAGTTTTCTTGTTTGTTCCTTTTGCCTAAAAATCACTGGTGTTTGTTGGTAATGGCATCTCGCTGTTGTCTTCATTTTAGGATAGCTTGGATCAAAACATTCTTGTCATGTTTGTTACCCTGCTATTCTGGTCTACAAGATTTCGGAGAAAGCTGCTCCCCTACTTGTTCTCTGTTGTTTCCTTCAAATCAATGAGAGATCTCTGGATGGTAGATTTGCTCTGTCTGTATCGTTTGTGCATGAGGAATTAGGGGTTTTGACATCTTATTTGTAATATTTCTGATTTTCTTATTCTGTCCGTTATTTGGTCTGGCAGTAATTTCTGCAGAGTTGACTTTCCTGATTCATGAGAAATAGACGGGGGCATAATCAAGCGTATATCTCTGCTAATTCTCAACTTTGTTTAGTTCTGGACTGTATGAATCACTTTTAATCTGCCCAGTCAATTCACCTAAAGTTATCATACCCAGTTGTTCTTTTCCTGGCTCTTGATGGATTAGCTTAGTCCAGGACCTCTCTTTGGGTGATGGCTCTGCGGTGCTTGGTATCTAACGGGAATTAAATTCTTTTATCTAACATGTTTGTATAGGCAGGGTTTTTGTGTCGCTGATTCATCATGGTCTGAAGAATAAATGCTACATATATTGGTTTGGTTTTGATAATATGGTAGATGATCTACAATTTTTATTTCAGCTTTGTGCCAAGTTCAGTCTCTGTTGGTTGTTTATGTTTTCACACACTTGCAGAATTCTACTGAGGGTGGTGACTGAATATGGGCTTTTGGATGTGATGATTCTTAAGACTGATTGGATGGCTGTGAACGTGATCCATTATCTGGAGTTTTGCTTCTGTATCACTGTTGCATTGCTGTAGGCAGTTGATTGCTGTTTGTTTCGATCATGGTGATGTTTCAAGATCTGTGTTTCCTCTCTGGTTCTTTTGATGTCGTCTTTCAAGAATAGTGGACTTCTGGTGTGTGGAGGCAAGAAGAGCTTCCTTTTGGATAGATGTGAATTAAATTGGGGGCTTTTCTTGGCAACATGGTCTTTCTTTGCTCTCTTTCCTTGAAAAATTCACTGGGGATATTTGGTGAACTTTTATCTGTTGTCTTGATTTTAGGGAAGCTTGAACTGGGAGTATCATCCTGCTTCTCGGTTGTGATAAGATTTTGGATTTGCTCTTTCTTTCCCTACTCTTTTTTAATTTTTTTTTGGGTTCATTTTCTTGAAAAATGATTTTCTCTACTTGTTCTTAATTTGGTATATTATTGTGTTGAGTCTAGGATTCCAGTGATTTGGAGGTGTGAAAACTTTAAGGTCTCTATCCTCAGATCAAAGGCTAGTACATTGTTTTGGAGGGCGTTTGTCTTCTTACCTACTCTTACCATTTGAGGGAGGGAGCTTGAATTTAAGAATCTCTGGTCATTTTGTTACCTGGTATTGTGGTCTGCATGATTCCAAAGGAGTTTCTTCTCTCATCGGCGTGTGGTTTTCTTTGTACAGCACTACGTAGTTTTTAAAATTAAATTACGGCATTCAATTTCAGGAAGGGCTGGGAGTTGAAGTCAGATCTGTGTTTTCAAGCCTGAATTTCTGCATTACTAACCCATTCTACCTAGCTTGTGCACAGTCATCCTAGTTGCATACTACCAATCAACATGAAATCAAAACAGATGCAGAGGTTTCTTATCCTGATCATGTGTAATGGATATGTCTGAGCTTAACCGTAGTGTCATTTTGTTTGTCCAGGTTTATTCATGATGGTGGTGTTAATATACTATGAAGTTTGCAGATTCTGCTTTGACAGTATGAGCGTTATCTGGAGTTATGGTTGTATTTAGCAGAGTATTGTATATTCTGTAGCGAGCATGCTTATTCCAGTGAATTTAAGATCTTTACCTCAACCAGTTCTTGAGTTCAATGTCCAGAAATTGGGATTTCTGTTTCTGTTTCTCCTTTTAAGTGATGGATGGAAAAGATGAAGCGCTTTCTAGTCTACATGGAATTTGATTTGATGACTTTGATGTTTGAATGTGGAAAGAAACTTCTGATATACTATGGGGTGCGGCCTAAGATGTAACTCAGTATGGATTATCAAGTTCATGGTCATGGTCAAGTTGGGGGTGTATTTCTTGCCTCCTATCCTTTCTTGGGCTTTTTGTATGTTTGAACTGGTTTGTCCGTTATTATGCAGCAACTTTAACTGTTCTCCATCACCATTGAGTACTCGCTGCTGGCCTTCGTTATCTGCAATTGAGTGGAAGAAAACTGTGTCGTGGTTATTCTCACTTCATAAGCGGATGCTGGTTCAGTCATGTTAGAACAGATGCATGCAATATCTGTTTTCACAGTCGTTGACTTGCATACAACTGGTACCAGTTCTGGTATTGTGCAGTCGTGTAAGAACAGATGCGTGCAATATCTGTCTTCGTAATCATCAACTTACATACCACTGGTACTGGTATTGTTTGTGAATTTCATTTCATACTTGAATTTTGTGATCCTCTGGTACATAGGTTTAGTATGCAACTTTAAAGTGCATGTAATTGAATTTTGTTATCCTTGGGTTTATTGGACAATATTTGCTTGTGGCCTTTTAACAGTTATGGTGTGGCATCAAGAGGTCCAATCTAAGATCTGCAATAGTTGTATGCGTTGTGGTTTCGGGAAGGTGGTTGCATCTTAACAGGCCCTGGCACAGGTGTATTGTGTTCATAGAACCAATCATAAATGATTGACAGATTGAGAGGAATCCAAATGCCCTTGTGTACAAGTCTTGAAAATCATTAATTTATTTGAAGTGCGTACTACTTTTGAGGTTGATTTCGGTGGATTTAAGAAATGAAAGAGTTCCTGTTTTCTAGGGCAACTTGTCATTTTCTGTATGATTTACCTGTGTAGCTTAAGCCCCTGTGATTTGTGTGACTTTTTAAGTCCCATAAGTAGGGTCTATTTGTTGGATACTTGCACTATATAATATTTGATCTTTTATCAGCCTTTAGCATCATAATTTTTTTCAAAATTTTCAAAATTTTTATTTTTATTTTTTTGTATGTAAATCTGTTTTGATATCCGATTCTCTTCACCGGAGCTTTTCTTTAGACCTTTCCTAATTCTTTTTGGTACCTTGAATGCTATAGAAAATTAACTGTAGCATCACATTTGTTTCACACAGTGGTTGAGCCCCCTAACTTGATGAAAATTTAGTTGATTTATAGGTTAAGTATGCAGAAGGTGAGCCTTGGTATAAAAACAAGTAAACAAAGTAAGTGTGGTAATTTTGGTAATATGTTTGGTGTGCTATTCGTAGAGTTCTCTTGTACTCTGGTGCAGATTGTTGCAAGTTTATTTTGCTATTTGTGAGACGTTTGTAGCTTGCCTTTTGGTGGGGATAACTTGAAGATTCCCTCTGCCTGTTGCTTTTTTGGACACTGCTGCGTATGAGTTGGATTTTTTTTGTTTTTTTTGGTTTTATTGGAGATGCATCTGTCCTCTATTGTTCTCTATTGGAGATTCCCCCTGTCTGTATGCTTGTGCTGTTTTGTTTGGTAGGATGCTTTGTAACTCCGCCTGTCTCCACAGACAGCCGGTCCCAAGCCCGGGCAAGAGGAGGAGGGAAAGCTGATCTTATGTGATGGTATTGGTCATTATTAAATATGGTTCTTCTCCAGGTCTTCCTATAGTAAATCACAATATATTATGTCTTAATGTTTTGTGATCTGGGAAATCACATCATCTGTTGCTCTTCCGCTTGTTTCTTTTGGTGGATTTGTGGGTGGATGGGGCTCCATTCATGCGCACAATTTCTGCCTTTTTAAGAGTTGGGGATTCAGCTAATGGCTTTTATTTTATCGGGTCCCTTGCCTCGTTAGATGGGTTACTTTTGAAAAGCTTAGGCGAGGCAAGAACTTGCAAAGCCTGACAGCCATAACCCGTGCGAGTGTGGAAAAAGGCAAAGGGACATCAGAGTAAGCAATCCCGTGCGTGCAAGAAGGCGGCAACGGGACATCGGAGTACGCAATGGCCTGTGTTGTTTTCGTTCGAGGAAGTGATTGGCCTAACAGCCTTGTTACTAGCTTCATGGGATCATATAGTTGTAATACTTCATGCACTTCTATTAAGCTAGTTTCTTAGGCACTTAAAGATTGCATTATTCCTGTGTATAATGAAGGCTTGACACTTCACTCAAGTTTTAAAGTATGAAATTGGGACTAGTTTTGTATCTCTTTTGCTCTTGTATTATGTAATCAATTACCTGGTGGTTCTGCTTCTGTTTGTTAATATTTCTGTTTGTTAATATTTCGTGTACGTGGAATAGAGTTAAACCTATTCTAATTGCATTCTTTTACTTTCTCTAATTTGTTTTATTTCATTGTTAATAATTCCTCACCAATATTATAATACAACATATGATATGTCTTTTAATTATATTTTCAAGCATTATATAATCTAGCATTCAATTATTTAAATATATAGAATATTATAACTTACAATAAAGCATATATGAGTAGTAAAAGTGTTAATAGTGATAAAAAATAATTTCAATCAATTAGTCGTATTAAAAAGTATAAAGTAAACAAAATTTTTTAGCTAATCTATTTCAATGTACAATTTATTATCTAAAATTCATAATACAAGGAATATAAAATATTATTCTATTTATGACGTATTTCTAAGAAGCTTAAGAAGTGTGTGTGTGTGTGTGAAAATACATTTATGTATGTGAAAATATGTTTATGTGTGGAAAAAAAATCTTTTTACGTGTTAAAATGTATGTAAAAAAGTTTATATATCAAAATGTATTAATTAATATGTTAGATCATGAGTTTGAGATGATCCAATATAATTCAACCCAAAATCAACCCAATTTAAAGTTGGACGGGTTGAGTGTAGCCCATTTAAGTGAAAATCCAATATCAACCCGTCCAACCTGCCCAATTCCTAGGTATAACGATACGTTAAGCAACGTATAATTGATACTGAAATCTGTTAAAATTTATAAGGTTTGAATAATTTTTAAGCTGGTTAGGTATGGTGGATTTCACAGTTGGTGCAAGTTGATCCTATTGTTTTAAACGATAAGTCCGTCCTTGATAGACTAGTCTCCAGTTAAAGAAATTTGACAGATATTTGGTTAATGGGAAAAAGAAAAACACTCTCTACATATAAGAAGGATTGCTGATATCATATTATTTTCCATAAATGAGCTATTGCCCAGAATTCATTTCAATCAAACCTTGGCCTAGATAGCAGGCAAACCTTAGTAGAACAAAATATTAGACCTATAGATTAAAACGACGAGTAAACCCTTGATAGAGTAGTCTCATCTTAAATTTTTATTTTTCCAAATATTTGTCTAATGGCAAAATCACTCTATAAATATAATGATGTTTTCTTAGATGACATTAATTAGCTACCAAAAAAGAGTTAATCAGAAATTGAACTTTGGCCTAGATTCTTAACACGATATTCATAATGCAAAATTAAGAGTTCATCTAAAAGCAGTAATCCAGGTTAGATGATCCTTTCGACAGATAGAGATGGTAAGAAGATTAATGCACATATTACCTTGTGTCAAAGTGAAAACTCAATGCTATACCAGTATAGCGCCAGGCATGGTGCAACATGTGTGCACCTCATAATCCCAGGATTACAAACCTAAAAACCATTATTCGCAAGTTCTTCTTTTGTAGAAGTTGAATTTGATGTCATAGATAGTGCAAAAAGGAATTTAGTGAAATCCAAAAAGACATTGATTACAATATTTATAGCCCAATTGGACAACAGTTCAGTCTAGACTTTCATAATCTAAACCAAGCAAGTCCAAATCAAGTCAATAAATTTAACACGAGGAAATTACAATTTCGGCTTCTGGGGTGGCTGGAATTTTTAGGTACTGATACTACTACTATCAGCTCTCAAGGTTTCAGAGAAGGACCTTCTGGGATGGGATGTATTCAGCTAGACATATTCGTGGACTCTTGAGTGTGTAATGTTTACATTGTCATATAAAAATGTACATGCAAATATGGACTTTAATGGTGTATTTACTTTCTTAACATATCATATATTGAAATACATGCCATATTAGCTAGTTAAACATCCATTTTGGGGTGCATTGTGAATGCACTAGTCTATAGTCTAAGTAAAAATTTTTAATTTCTGTTTTGGAAATAACTAGGCCATGGATTTTTTTTTTTACTTTTTCTTTTAGAATAATTAAATTGAATCTATATTTTTCACGAAGGTTGCACATTTCATCATCTAGAGCTTAGAAGTGCCCTAAATTGTTGAGATTTGCACATTTCATCATCTAGAGCTTAGAAGTGCCCTAAATTGCTTAGAAGTGCACATTTCATCACTTTGACGAATGAAAGTGAGATGTTTAGACAACACAATCTTGAATATTCAGTTTTCAATATTGGAGCTTGAATTCTAAGAGAGCATTCACTTCAGATCTTGAACTAAATTCATCTACTCTCCGCCCTTAATCTCGGCTAGAATTTCTTGTTGAGAGAAATTGAAACCAAATATATTACAACTAAACAATAGTTCTGTATACTAAAATGAACTAGGTTCAAAGTGTAGAGAAATTAAGATGAAGAAAAATTTTCTGGTTCGCTGCCTTTTAAGTTTCATGATGAAGTATTAATGCATTGCAGTCGCCAGGTAATATAGAGGGAAAAAGAGGCGGCAGCTGCTCTATGTTAAGCTCCACATGATCAGCAGAAGTAGTGCAGTCTATGCCCTGATTGAACACCGATGGCTCTGGTCCAGCTAGGTTCAGCTCCTGGCGAGGAGCCCAATATGGTCCTCCTCGATCTACTGGCTAAAACAACTTCCATCAATGGAGATGGCGGATTGCCCCCATGCAAAATGGGGTACGTCGCCAGACTTGGATGAAAATGAGAGTTCTCGTGGCCACCAAGTCGGCCAACAGAAGCAGCAGACCTTACAAATATATAATCAATTTTCTTCATAGTTATATGCTTAATTATATCAAAATACTAGTTGTAATTAGAGATATGCATATGTTGATGTATGAATATTTAGTAGCAGTATTGGATAACACTCAACAGTAGGAATTAAATACGCAGAATTCATTAATTAAAAAAAACATGTTTATATTTGGGTAGCTAAAAAACAAGTTTTTTTTTTTTTCAGTTTCTGATATGGAAATGTCTTAGAAAATGAGGGAAACTGATGTAACAACAGGCTTAACAAAATTGTTCAAGAATTAGAATTGACAACTACGCATCGCATCTCTATATTCTTAAATTAAGATTTATAAAGATTAATTAAAATGCTCAAGAATACATTTATCATGTTAAGACCATTATAGCTCAGGCAAGGTGCAACATCTGTGCACCTCATGATAATCCGCAGATTACAGACCAAAACCTTTCCCACCATGCAATACTTGTTGGAGCATAGGTTACACTGTTTGTAAAGAAGATTAATGTTTGCTTAAGAAAACCTATCTTTTTAATATTTTCTTCTCGAAAAAGAGAGATAAAAATACTTGAGGGTGAGCTACTCATCCGAGAAGTACAGTCGAGAAAAGGGGATAAGATTCTGGTTGCTGACTAGTGTCTGTAAATTCATTAAAGCCTCGGATAGCTTCTCATCTTTATCGCTATTAAAATTTTTTTTGGCTCCTGACTATTGTCATTAAATCTATGAAAGCCTCATTTCACATATTTGTTAATTGGTCCGGCTAACGGATGTTCAATGGGCACTCGTTAATGTGAATAACGTTACTATAATTAATGAATTTTAGTATTTAAGAGGTGGTGTCTTTAGGTTTGGGAAACTTCTGGTAAGAAAAGAATTTTGCAAATGATAAAAAAGACCATTTCAAATAGATCAACAAATGTGGAATGAGAGTTTGACTATTTGCGTTTCAGCTTCATCTCTATTTTTCTCATTACATTTTTTTTACAACATAAGTTTAAAAATCTAATAATTCATTTGTGTAAAACTAAGAACAAAAGTGTGCCCAACTTTGTGCCATTGTTTTTCCCTTTTTTTTTATTTAAAAGAAGCATAATACTATCAAGACTCATATGTTTTTTTCAACAAATGTTAATATCTACTGTCAAGGCTCATAAAGTGACTTAGTTTTATACTCTTTTTTAACTATAAAAAGATAGTAGGTTCCCAAATTCTGAACCAAATCAAAACAAGGCCGTTAGGGCTTATAAAAAAAGAAAAAGAAAAAAGAGACCATTATGAATTTGGAACTTTTTATCCCCATAAAATGACAAATTGAAAAGAAAATTACAATTTATTTTGGAAAAAGACATAGAACAATATATTTTTAAGACTTGTAAAGAAAAAAGAATATACAGAAAGTTGTATACCTACGTAATTCTTCAATTAAGAAATACACAGTCAGCCATTCATCAAAATGTCGAAATAGTGACTAAAGGCACTGTCTCCATTTCTTTAGTAAGTTGTAGCCGCTGCATTTTGATAGACTCCATTTTTCGTTTTGTGCTTTCTTGCTTGATAAATTATTTTTGTTGTTTGATATTTATGGGCCCATAAAAGTGATAACAGAGCTCCCTGGTTCTTCCTAGTTATTGTCGTAGTTATCATCAGAATCATCATTACCCTCTTCAGAGCTAGAGGATTCTGAGGTAAGAGCATGCATATATCAGGATGATCATCAAGATTGAGGCAAGAACATGCATGTATCAGGAGGATCAACAAGATTCTCAGTCACCACTCCCTTTAATTCCCTTCTCCTGTGCTGCATTCCCTGGATGTCCCAATCTTTATATTGCTCCTGTTTCAGTCACTTCCACCCTTCTTTCCGCAGAAAAGAAAATGCTTCCTACCCCTTAGATCGTTATATATCTCAAGCTTGGAAGGACACAGCTTTGAATCAAAATGATAATTAATGTCACTTTCACTTTCACTTCCCTCAACGCTCATCATCATCACAATCGCTTTGATCATTTTAAGTGGCAAAATGAAAATATGATAAACCGTCATATTCTAGCCTATAACTAGCTGACTAGTAGCATGCCAAGTATCAAACGTCTTAATTTGTGTGATTATTTGAGAATCTAATATCGTTTACAAGTGCGAAGTGCAAAATCTTTCGAAATTGACCCCAGTATACATGTTCAATTGGTTTAATAAATCAAATCATCGCTAAGCAGAGAATTTTGTTTTTCTACTCTATCATGTATACTTTTCTATGAGTGATAAGATATCCAAAAGCAATGAATGAGGTTTCTCCATTTATGCATAAAGCACCAAGAATAACTGCAATCGTTTAAAAATCTG